GTGGTACGTTAGCAGAGAAAGCATGCAAAAAATCTTTAGAAAAAAGCAACTTCCGATATTTGGTTGCGAACAGTTCAAAAAATAATACAGGACTGATTAAATAGGAAAGTAATATTTGATAGGAAGGATGTGTCTCCACTTAATAATAATAATAAGATTATTAATAATAATAATAATAATAATAATGAGATTATTAATTTATAAAGATGACGACAGTGAGGATTCCCTAGAATATTAGTGAGCAGTCCATAAAAATTCGTTCATTATTACTTCTAGTTAAAATTAACCATATATAATACAGTATGTAATAAAATAAAAACGTCATTCATGATAAACATTTTCTTCTTGTTATTGAACTGGAGCCAAGATATCATTTGCGGCGAATAAAGCGATAAATAATATATTGTGACGATAGTCTAATTTATTTATTGTTTATTTATTTAAAACACACTATTTACAATTTATTTCAGACGTACTAATTAATTTATATAATACTAACAAGACTAACAATTCTAATTTATTTATAACACTTTAACTTTTCATTCCAATACTCTGTACTAAACTGTCTATAATCAACTGACGACCGTCTTCACACTCGCGATATTTATATCAAGCCAACTCGGTAACCAGAATACTCTAGACAGTCCCGAAAATTCCATCTCTGACTCAACGGCATCCACCTCCCGTTCTAGCCGTTTCTAGTGCGTCAGTGGCATTCCTGAACGTTCCGTCACCTCGAGCATGAGTCGGGTGCCAGCTAAGGGTCGCGCTTGCTTTCGACATAGGGTCGGCTTTAGGAATTTCATGACAATATTATTAAACAATTGTCTTGTTCGAATATTTTTGATATTTTTATATCGGTATAATTTCGTATATTACAATGAAAATTACAAAACAAAATAACTATTAATTTTTATTTGAGTCTTAAAACACTTTTCTTACTATTAAACATGCTTTATAGTGAAGATGTTGTTGATCTATAGACTAGCAGTTCTTTTTTACATCCATTTTAATCCTCAATCAAGTCATAACTTAATTAATAGCACTTTATAGAGTTGATAGCTCATCAGATGCACTTATATTCAAGCTAAAAACTATCACAACGTTATTTTTAAGCAGAGGAAGAAAGATCTACCTGACAAGGTTGTAGGATTTATTATCATGTGACGTAAAAATTCTTTACCACTAAAAAGCATTTGGTACGACTTAGGTTCATGAAAAACGATCTAATCGGTTAAAAATAACTTAGTTAATGCACGCAATATTTGTAAGTTTTGTCAGGTAAATGATTTTTATTTATTTTGTATTTCTCATAAATAATTTGTTCAGATTTGTTACATCAATATATACAGGGTGATTCATAACTATTGGGACATAGATTAAGGGCAGGTTATTTAGATCAAAATATGGCGATAGGACCAAATATGCCTTAATAAAATATGGCTGTGGAATAAGATACAAGGCGTTTTTTTTTCGTTTTTTTTTTATAATCTCACTGTTTATTTATGAATTGTTATCAAAATCGGCTCAAAGGCATATCTTTGGACAAGGGATATTATTTTATGTATTATTTCACATTTTTTTACAGGGGGCGCCACGAGAATGATTCCTGATGATGAAATTAAGTGGTAAGTTTTTTTGCCGAAACTTTTTAGTGGTTTTTATTAGAAAATATTGGTACTTCTGTTTAAACACGATAATTTCACCTGTTTTCGAGAAAAACGCAATTGAACAGTTCAGAGTCTCAGAAGGATATTTCAAAAAATATTTTATTTATGAAAAGTGTGCTTTGGACTGTCAGATAATTGTGTCTGGTAAATGGCAGTTCTTGCCAATGAATTATATTTGCTGCGAGATTATAGTCTATTGTTGCATTCTTTAAAGCTTTTTCGACTGAAATGCCTCGTCACAATCATTTTACGAATGAAGAAATGCGGGATATGGTTTGTGTATATGCACAAGAAATTTTTTGCGGTCGCATGGCAGCCAAAAGGTATGAATTGTTATATCCAGACAGAAGGCAACCAAATCACAAAACTTTTGCAAATCTATTTCATCGATTGGGTGAAACCGGGTCATTTCATAATAAAAATCTGGGTGGTCGTCCGAAACAAATCACACCTAATGAAGAAGATGAAATTTTGGTTCGAGTAGATGAAAATCCTGAAGTAAGTTCACGTCAACTGGCAATAACAACAGGAGTAAGTCAGTCGTCCATTATTAGAGTTATAAAAAAAGAAAAGTTTCATCCTTATCACTTCACTCCTGTTCAAAATTTGCTTCCAAGAGATCTCCCAAGACGGTTACAGTTCTGCCAACGTATTCTCAACAAACATAATGATGACCGAAATTTTATTAAATATATTATGTTCACCGAGGTGTTTTTAATTATCGAAACAGTCATCACGGGGAAGAAGAAAACCCGCATGCTCGTAAAGAAAGACATTTTCAACATGAGTTTAAATTTAATATTTGGTGTGGCATTATAGGCGACCAACTACTAGGGCCATATCGTCTTCCTCCAAATTTAAATGGAGATTCCTATTTTTTTTTGCAAAATACTTCTAGAGATATTTTGGCTGATATGCCACTAGATGTAAGAAGGAAAATGTGGTTTATGCAGGATGGAGCTCCACCTCATTTCCCATTAGTTGTTAGAAATTATCTAAGTGACATATTTCCTCAACGTTGGATTGGCAGAGGAAGTAATTTTGAATGGCCACCAAGAAGTCCTGACTATAACCCTCTTGATTTTTATGTATGGGGACATATAAAGTCCTTAGTTTATACCCAGGAAATTAATTCACAAAACGAACTCTGGAGGAACATACAAAATGCGGGTAATTTTATAAGGGGACAGAATAATATTTTCTTTGCCATCCGAAAGTCCTTTATTAAAAGAATTAGAAAAGGCATAGAAGTCGGGGGAGGTCACATTGAACATTTAATTTAAGTTTGCTTTTTTTATGGTAAATTGTTTTTAATTTTGCTTTACCGTTGAAATAGAAGCCTTACGTTACAAGTTTTCTTATTGTGTTATTTGGAATCCCCTTCTGAGACACTGAACTGTTCAATTACGTTTTTCTCGAAAACAGGTGAAATTATCGTGTTTAAATAAGAGTACCAATATTACGTAGAAATAATTTTTAGGTAATATTTTCTAATCAAAAGCACTAAAAAGTTTCGCCAAAAAAGTTACCACCTAATTTCATCATCAGGAATCATTCACGTGGCGCCCCCTGTAATAAAATGTAAAATATTACATAAAATAATATTCCTTTTTCAAAGATATGCCTTTGTGCCGATTTTGATAATAATTCATAAATAAACAGTGACAATATCAGAAAAAAAAAAACGAAAAAAAATTCAACTTTAACGCCCTGTATCTTATTCCACAGCCATATTTTATGAAGGAATATTTGGTCCAATCGCCATATTTTGGTCCAAATAACCTGCCCTTAGCCTATGTCCCAATAGTTATGAATCACCCTGTATACATCAATATATAATTAGATTCTTTTCTAAATATTTCTGTACCTGTGAATACATATAATTATTTTAAATTAAGGTATTCTCTCACCAGTTTATTTAAAAATTTTCGATTTATAAATGTTCATATTTATAAAAATATTCTAAACTGTTTCTGTTCTAGCACAGTCGACACAATAAAAGTTCAGTACTGCTAATAGGACGAATATTCTCTATGGGGTACTTATGAAAGTTATCCATACAGCGTATTTTAATAGATAATTAAGAATTTAAAAAGTAATGCGGCCAGAATCAATAACGTATACAAAAGACCTTGAGGCAGAAAGATGCAATTTGTGGCAATAAATCCTAATAAGGAGCTTTGGGTGTGATTTTCAAACAGTTTTTCTAGTGATCTTTTTCTAACACACGTTTTGGTGAAACTTATTACGTAGCTTCGCGAGTGTTTAGTCAGTGACTAAATATGAAACGGTTGATTGAGCCTTATATGAAAAGCTTTCCGTCAACCTTTTCTTTATACTTTTTACAATGTTTTTATAATCATACAAATAGGTAGGATAACTATAGACGACTATCCTATCCTAATTGGGACAGAAAATTGAGGAAACCCTGGACTGTTCGCTAGGAAATCCTGAAAAACGCCAGCTTTTGTAAAATAGCCTGAATATCACATCAAATCACGAGTTGCTTGTTGGAGTATTTTCAAAAAAGGTTTTCCTGTACACACGAATATTTTTTCATTGTAAACCGTGTTGTGTTTCTCAAAGGTAAAATAGAGTTTTGTCTTTAGGCGAATGGATGTAAAATCCGCAGTCATAGAACCCCAAACAAGCTAGCAAGTCTTTGGAAACACGCCAGTCATGCTGGGTCCAATACTTTTATATATTCTTGACGCATCTGTAAATTAGGCAAGCTCTTTTGAAGAAAAAATATCTGGATTATTTTCTAGGTGTTTCTACTTAAAATACTTACTTTTATAATGTATATTGAAGATGTCTTACTCATGTTAAAAAGACATATAGAAGGTATTTTGTTCAGTAACTCAATATGAAATACCAGCATCATAAAACTACTAAATTAATTCAAATTTTAACAACAAATCTATTTTATGATTTTATAGTAATAATATTTACCTTGTCATTGTAACCAGCATCTTTATTATTTGACCCAATGCTGACTAGTTCAGGAGCCATCCAACTGGGCGAACCTAAAATTACTGATAAATATTCTTCAGGGGTACTTCTTATTTTAGAAAGTCCAAAATCACATATTTTTACTTCTCCCTCTTTGCTTAAAAGTATGTTGCTACCCTTAACATCACGATGTACAACTTTGTTTTCATGAAGGTATATCAGGCCCTAAAAATAAATTTCGTTTATTTACGAATGTGAACGTTGAACTTATTAATATGTTTATATTTTAAAATAAGGTTAAAATTAATTTGAAAGAGGATCTTTTCTTAGAATCCATTTCTTCTGCACATGTGATGTTTAATTAAAAGGCCACATTTTTTAATTTTTATTTATTTAATATTAATTTTTAACTAATCCAGTTAAATTGTGTTTTCATCGAGAAAGTCATGACGTAGATTTGATTGCTTTTGTACCATATGTTTTTTGGGCTACTAAATCGGAACAGAGTTCATGACGCAACATTAAAAATTAAAATGCAAAAATGGCCAAAAATTATTTTTTGCTAAATTTTTGATTTTAACTATCAGATTTTCGTAAATTGCTTCCTTATTTAAAATAAAAGTCCAAAAATTTTCCTAAAAGTTTAAAATTTCTGATTCTTTCTCCGATGAACTATTCGGACTCAAATGTTAGAGAAAATTGCCGTAGTATTTCGATTGTCTCTGCAAAAACTCTTTTTCAGCTTCAAAACTGTATTTTTTAATATTATAGGTTGTCATTTTATCGACCGAGTATTTATCCATTCTATTTTCTAGGAATACATATGTTTAGTACGAAATTTCTCGAAATCAATCACAGATAGAAATGTTTTATTAAAGGTCTATAAGTAAGAAGAAAATGCATATTATCAACTGTCTGATTTACAGTAGTGCCAATGTAGAAAACTGAAATTGGATCACCCTTTACAACATTAAAACACAAATTATGTTTATTAAAAAAAAAAAAAAGAATTAGGTACTAAGCTTATATTTTTAAAAACAAAAAGGATATTTTTGCTAAAATTTTTGTTTTTAGTGCGTGTAATTAACCCATTTGACCCTAAAACAATTTTTTTCGATTTTGTATAATTTTTTTCTCAAAAACGGTTAATAGAAGGTCCCATAAGTCGAGAAAAAATCATAAAAAAATATGCGATTATCATTTTTGGAAAAAAACAGTGGTCCTTTTAAAAGGACGGTAGGATAAAGGGCTACTATTAGAAAAATAAATAAAGATTTAAAAATATTTTTATATATCTTACAAAATGCTTAGCAAAATACTTAAAACTCAAACTTAAAAATTAATTAGTATGATAGGCCACAAAACAGTTTTTTGGATGAAGACCAACGTCACATTTTTGGCACACAAAATTTGCTTTTTTGTGGCACACAACACATTTTCGCTGACTCTCGTGATATGTAACTCAATGATCTAGTCTATCGTAACGTTAGAATTGGTGCGCGGTTTTTGGCAATTTCGAATTTCTTAGTTGTTTTCCAGTACGTTTCGAGCAGCTGAGTCCCTAGGTCTTTCTTAAACTGAAGTTAGTCTAGGGTACCACCATCATTCCTATGGAGGTGCCACGAGTTTTGTGAGGCCATGTCGACACAGTGGGAAAATAACGGAAAATACCACTTTTTACCTCGTATTGAAACTCTATATTGGCTTATTTTTTGGTCACTACGGTCTACACCTCCCATATATTTGTTGTACGCCTTTATCAATTGTAGCTGATCTATATAAATATGCTATTTTTCAGCCTGTGAAAATCGTTTACCTTATTTACTGGCAAAACTGAAAATGCATTGGTGGCTAAAGTAACAACGCTGTTGTCATAAAGCGATTTCATTATCAGCAACACCCCATTCAAATGTACCTCGTGCCTTTTTCTTCAGAACTTTAGAATTGCTAAATGGAGATTGAGGGATCCGGTTTTCACGTACAGTACCAGTTGCCTTGATGTTCCTCAATTTTGGCTCCTTTAGAAGTGACAAAGATGCAAAAAAATTGTCAAAAAATAAGTGAAAGGGCTGGTAAGGCATTTTCTGTAAAACATCTGCATATTGGAGAACAAGTGATGCTCCCAAATCCATGTGTTTATATTTGTCCGGAATTGTTGTCGACGCACCTTGGTAGGGATCAAAATAAACAATGTAACCAAGGCGTAGGATACCTACCCAAAATTTATACCCCAACCTTATAGGATTACCTCTAATAAAATGCTTACCGCTATGTCTTCCAAAATACGGTATCATAGCCTCATCAAAGCTGTGATTCTCTTCAACTGGGGCATAATCAAAAAACTTTTTATTTAAGCTGTTGAAAAGAGGACGTAATTTAGAGTACTTGTCATTTTTATCAAGGAAGTATTATCATTGCAATGAAGAATACTCATTATGAATTGAAATCTATCTCTGGAAATAGTGGCTAATATAAGTTTCTTCTGGGTATCGTTGCAATTTTGCCAATAGATATGTCGCCTTGGAACAAATGTATATCCACTGACAAGTAACACCCCTATGAATCAATACATCTCGTTTACAGTAACGTTACCGGGGCGGTTTTTTGTTGTGCATAAATATTGGTAAAATTGACAATTTCTCCTACCAAGTTTTCATAAAAAAATAGCTTGAAAATATTTCCAGGGGAACGATTGCTTTGTGCAGTTTGAACTGTTTGCCATTGTATAAACGTAGAATCTAAATCTTCATTATGAGTATAGTTAAACCTCTTTATGCGTTTAGGTCGCCTTTCAACAAAAGTGGACAGTGGTAGATCCTCATCACTGTCCCCGTCGTCATCACCTTCCACGTCAAATTCGATTTCCGCCGGGGCCCTTAGTTGCACTCCGGGTAAATTATTTGGATCTACATCGTCTTCAGCCCCAGATTCTTCGTCGGTATCGCAGTTTTCGTTGGCATTTTCGGGAGGAAAAATTGTAATTCCTGTAAGAATGTCCGGCGTAGAGTCATTCTCCAATTCTTCTAAGAGTTGTGCCATGGTTAGTGGCTTTTTTAAATACCTGCAAAAAAAACGCATATAGTATCATATAATCCTACCGTCCTTTTTAAAGGACTCGTTAAATTGAACGCCCCTGGAATGATCGAGAAGTGTGAAACATAACCACAAATATAAAAAAGGTAAGTATAATATGTTATTTGTTAAAAATAATCAAAACAGCAACGAAAAAATAAACGAGGTTTAACATATCTTACCTTGAGTCACTCATTGCAAAATCACTAACAACACAGTGTTTTTTAACCGTCACTATCGATCCAAAACTTAACAAAACCCTAGCGATGGCGATTGATCTTGTTTAAGATGTCAACTAAATATAACGTGACTTGGCGACATCTTCAAACCGTCAGCTGAATCAGAAAAATATAGGTTTCTTTTTGAAGTCCTTTTAAAAGGACGATAGGCGTAAATGGGTTAATAAATTATAATGTTCGTTCATTATTATTAAAACACGTTGTTGATTTATGGTATTTCAAGTCACAAATTACAATATTTTTCTTATTAATTTTGACATATAAGAAGACATTTTTTGTATGTGTCAAAAAAATTATGAAAGTGGTTACCTGACCTCGCTCTGCTTGTCCCGCAAATAATCACACATTACATAAAATAAGCTCATTCGTAACTGGTTAAATAAACAGTAATTACAGGCACATATTTTTGTTATACATTGTGTTTTGAATTGTTCACAGGAACACTTGACCTCAAAATAAGGATAATTTTTCTACAATCTCACGCACATTTTGGTTTGTTTCGATAAATGTTTTAGTAGCTATTTGAAAAGCGTTTACATTTCGTTTCTGTTTCGTTTTTATCCCGTTTATACCCCGTTTCTATTCCGTTTCGATTCCAACTGAGGTACAAATTTGATATACATTATTTTTAAGATCTAATAAGATCCTTTTGATGTCATTTCCTTTTATTGGACCCCTATTTATCTTAGGTACATTAACAAAAACTGCGAAATCTGCTAACATGACTTTAAATTTCTTTAAAAAAATTTCTTTAATTTTTTTCATGTGATCTTTTCAAATGTTGTGCATTAGTTTTTCTTTAATCTTTAAAACTCTTTTGTTTCTGGCATAAATAGCATAGAGTTTTTGATCCATAGCCTTCTTCTCCTACTATACTCCCAGATATTGCGAACACAGGATTTTTACAAGTCACATGAATGAGCTCCATTAGAGTCAATCTCACAAACAACACAATATGCTTTACTGTCGCTGACAGTTGCTGCCCCTTCTGATGCAATTAACACTACAAATATTTTAACTGTTAAAGCAGGAGTTGAGGTAGAGTTGGTAAATGGTTTAAGTTATCTTGTTATTGTTAAAAAAATTAATTTATGTTCTAGTAGATCCTCTAAATTTAAAGCCTCTTTGGTAAGTAAATCAGCCGCTGGGAGATCTTGTGACATTAAAGTGTTGGTTGATTTAATTATTGATAGATTTATTTGAAGTTGAACCATTGTAATCAATAAATTCAGATGCTGGTAGGTCTTTTGGAGTTGAAGCATCAAGCTACTAGTATGTCTTCTGGAGTTAAAATACTATCGTAGCCCTGCTGGCTAAGAAGTAGATACAAATCCTGATCAGTAACAAGTTTTTCAACCATCTCTTTTAAAAGATGACAAAATCGAAGTCCTGTTTTCAGTTTTATATTAAAAAAAGTTTTGCACATTTTTTGTGTGATTGTCAATTAGCCAAGCAAGTAACATAACATGTCCTTGACTAGCTGGATACCTAGACTTACCATTTACAATTTTGCATCTTTGCCTCTCGCTTGTTAATTCTTGTATAATGGCAGTCGTTATTTCACGGCCGTTGTTGCATTGTGGTATATAAGGACAACCTACACCCAAAACTATTTTTAATAGCTCCATTCCTACCTCAGCAGCTCTTTTTAAAGTTAGCGTTCGAAGAAAACTAAATTTTGTCGCGTAGTCCTGGTAATGTAATAGCCACTTGAAATTTCTATCTGTGATCCACTGTAAGTTTACTAAATCGGCATGTCCAAGTTGATTAAAGTCTCTAGATACAATTGGAAAAACGATTCCTTTTCTTGGATTTTTTTTTAACTAATATACCGTGTACTGCTTTAAAATCTCTATTAGAACTAAAGTAGATATAAGGTATTTCGATTTGGTTGGCAGAATGTTGTTTGAAACACGTTGTTAGAAACATTTTGTTTAAAACAAGTTTGTTCGAAAATACGTTTCATCAAAAAATTTTAGTTCGAAAATACATTTCTTTAAAAAATCTTAGTTTTTAAAATTATTTTGTTTGAGAAACTGTGGTGCATTTTCAAGAATATTTGTAAGATATCCTTACATAAAAAATAAATTTCATTAGTCTATGTACTAGTGAAAGAGGAAAAAAGGTATTACTTTCCTAGTCTTCATGACTGTTCGGTAATTAGTTTCTCTCGTGTCATATTAGTTTGTAACAGTTCCTCGACTATGATTAAAAAACTGGTAAAATGTGGGAAATAAATAGATCTTAAATAACAGATTTTATTTCGACAGCTTGGGTTTTTTTTACAATAAACAAGTATCAGAACTGTAAAATATCTTATCTAAGAACACTTTACGCTAAAAATCTAAACTAATTAATTATGGAATCTGGTTGTTCAAATCAATAGTCTACAGTTTACCATGTATTATCTTTGGACTTGAGTTTCGGACTTGATCGATCCTTAATATTAAGTACCACAACAGCTTCGTGGTGTGGCATAAGCCGCTGGACAGCGACGTAGGTATAGTACCTTTGGCAAGTTACCTTTTTCCAAACTACCCTTTCACCAAAGTAGGAAAGATATATCATGCTTTTCAGCTTCCCTGAACAAGACCACATAAACTAAGAAAATAACACAAAATTAAATTTTATTCTATAATTGCAAGGTAAAACTTACCGTGGTTTCAATTCAAGAATGCTTCACAAGAAATCTTATAATCTAAAAATGTGGATGCCAGCTACAATTTCTATTGACCTGATATTTTCATCTCTAAGTCACTTTCTAGATAATTTGTTCAAGGTAGTATAGGATGGTAAGTAGTTTGTGCACTGTAAATTTAATTTGTGCCGTTTCAAGTTGTATAGACATGTATGCCGCCACTTTAAAATAAATTTAAATATAACAATGTCAATATATTTTTTGTTGTTGAATGTTAATTACCTATTAATTACGCTTAAATTAGGTCAACTTCATGTCATGAAGAGTAAGTTTGGGAAAGATATCCTCTAGTTTAAAATGTACTCTTACGTTAAAGACCTAAGGAATAAAGATATCACTTACTGGAAATGCGAGGAGGTAAAAAAAGGAAAAGACCAAGACAAGACTATAAAAGAAGTACACAATCATACAGGAAAGCTGAAGAAAAGAGTTACAACTGTATAGACGATATTTAAAGTAAGGCACGAGCCATTGTAGAAACTCCACAGGGCATAATAGCAGAGGCCACTGCTCAACAGTATTAGCACGTTTGCCTGCACTTCGAAGTCTTAAGAAAACAATAAAAAGCTTATGGAAAAAGAAAACAACTATCCAGATCGTCCAAAAAGCAAAAGCAATATAGATTTAGCGAAAAAATATCAGTTCACTTATAAACGAAAACACTAATACAAAATATACAAAAAGATAGTTACGATACAACCACAATAAAAACCTACACACAACACTACGACATACTGCCATCTGAGATCACTGATCTCATTGACAACAAAAACTGCATCAGGAAAAGATGGCAGCAAAACCGGCGATAAGAAAATAGGGGCATGATGAATGACGTTGCAAAAAATATAAACAAAATAATTGGAGACCAACGGAAAGCTAAATGAAAATCCACCCTATCGGAGATAAAACCGAGTAACAATTCTCTGTAGAAAGTGATAAAACGGTAGAAATAACTCTTTCCACACTGATAAAGGGATAAGACTTACTAAAAACTGACAAAGAATAAGGTCAAGCCTTCGGCGAATATTTTTAGTCTTAATTTATATTTGAGTGATTTAGTCCGACAGGGGACTACCTGGCCGCTCCTAGTTTTTCAGTTTTTTTACGTGAAAACCCTATTTTTTGACTATCTTTTCCAGGGAGAATAGACAAAATTAAATTCAAGACATAACATTTACTCAATACACTCACCGGTCTATGCATAAAATCTCAAAATAGTCAAATAGTACCAACTAGTAAGGAGTTGACAAGGAGGGACAAGAATTTGATAAACAGAACAGGCAGAACATCAGCAAATACCCTATTTGAATCCCAACAGAGGCAATGAAGAAGAACTATTTACGCATTTTTGTGATTGTAGATGTACATATCTATATAGTAATGGTTTTAAAGTTTTTTCCAGAGAAGAAAATCATAAGTAAATTTAAACAAAATCTCGACTATATTTAAAATACCAATTGTGCAGAAAAAACAATATTGCCATAATATGTCGTCTGACAAGGGGATGTCATACAAATTCACAAATTATAAAATTGGATATAGGTATAACGGACTAGGGCAACGATTAGCTGCCAGGAATCAGGCAATGGAGGATAACAGACCACAAATATCTCGCGTGTTAGTAATTATCTAATGTAAATATATCTAAACCACTTTACATGTTCATATTTTAATTAATAATAAAGATTTTTAAAGCAAAATAAAAACACTTTACATTTTCGGTTGTGGATTTATCGGGGGGTTTCCAGTGACTGCACACAGGACCACCAACTACCAATGCAACCTTGTTTTTTATTAACTTTTTCAGGGGACAAAATCAAATTAAGACAAGACAAATTTACTTTTACTTACAATTTCCGACTAAAATCAACCAAAATTACTTAATATTCCTACAGGACAAGGAGAGAGGCTGGCTCTATTTAGCAGGATCATAATACATAAACTACGTGATATATTATAGGCAAAGAAATCGCCATAGCTCGAGTAGGCGACTGCAAAAGCCGCACAACTGGAGTTGCTGTGTTGTAAATTGTAAAAATGCTAGCAAAAAAACAGTGTAAATTTTATAAATTTTGAGTAATTAAATGGAAACTATATCAAAGAAATAAATGTACCTAATATTGCAGTAAAAAAGGAAAATTAATTACAAACCTTTATTTTTGTAACAAGAGTATCTAATACCTATTGAAAAAAAGTAGATATCAGAAAACTGAAAGGTTTTATATTCACTCAGTGCCATGTCATGGTAGGGGAAGCAAAAGCGATACTAGCGCTAGCTGCGGATAATTCGTGCATCTTAGGGCGATATTTTGTAATTTTGGCATATCAAATGCACGTATACATTTTACTTTTTTTTTCAAAAAAGTAGGTAAAAACAATACAATAAACAACTGGAGTTGTATTGAAAATTGTAAAAATACTAGCAAAAAAAGTGTAAATTATAAAAATTTTCAGTAGCAAAATGGAAATAAATGAATATGTGTACAATAAGAAGAAAACTTACCATTATTTTTATAAAGGTTTTAAATAAACAATAAATATCATTTCACGATGTTTTAACAACCTTTTAATGTTAAATGTTGGGCAAGAACTAGGTTTCTGCTTTTAATTATTGTATGTAGCTGGAATGCAATTTTGTGACTTACTGATAGAAAACCAGTATTTGTCATTCATTCTAGGTTTTCTTTCGAACAAAAATGAAAATAAAAATAACAATTTTTCTGTTTATATATTTTACCTTCACGCTAATAGGTATTTAAAGATATTTTTTGTTTTGACAGAATAGGTTAATTCTTCAAAGACAACTTATTAGACTTAGGCAACTTCTCATACATTTTCCTGTAAATACTGTTGTCTGCCTCTAATATTTTATTGATTTTTATTGAATATGCTTAATTATTTTTAGTTTAAGTGATAAAAATTTATAATAATAATACATTAATGTTTTACTTGTTTTACAAATCCATATACTTTTATTGAAACTAACATTATATACTTTTTAATTGCGAATTCTATTAAAAATTGTATTGTCAGTATAGGCAAAAATAGTCCATTAGTAAAAATATTAATTGGCGCTGCTATCGCACATGGAGCAAATACTTAAATTATTATTATTATTGACACGGCTGCATCACACTTCACCTGTCACCGAAACTTCCTCGGAGGAAAATGTCGGGTTTTTATACATTTAAACGGCATCGACATTCATTCAAGTTACTCTTGCGGATCAGCCCTACATACAAAAAAATTAAAATATGGGCCAGTGTTTCTTCGTTTGAGGCTTCTTTTATTAACACTAGCTACACTTGAACACATGACAGCCTTTTGTCCGAAATATTGCGATTGGCCCGCTCATGAATTTTATATCCTTTGCTTTTATATTTATTGTTAGTTTTTTTTTTAATTCGACATCATCTGAGATGTTGATTATTATATGGGCATCGCTTTTTATATTTAAAAACGCTCTTTGAGAATTCACTTAAAATGTATGATGTAAAAGACGAGTAAGTCATTTTAAAAAGAAAACCTTTTATTCCTTAATTCTTGATACCTAATAATCGCCTAATAAGCCGAAAGCGCTAGACTAATTTTTAATTAAAGACGGGATTCTATTAAGATAATACCAGTTTGCACACTTAAAATACCCACTAGTTTCATTCCTGACTTGTATAGAAGAAATATAGCATATAATTACTTTTTTAGATTTGAAACTTTATAACTTTATAACAAAATTGTATTTTTGAAATTATTAATGCAATCTTGTAGATACTCACCCTGACAGTTTCCTTGATGACATAAGCAATGTGCTCTTCAACCATCCTTCGATTTTTTGCAAATAAACGGTTCACCAAGTCGACAACAGATCCTCCATCGCATGGCTTCGAACAAAGTATAAATCATAATCATAAATCAATCAGTCCGTTTTTATTGGCCTACCTCAAGACAAGACTAATTATTATAAATTTTATTCTTGCCAATGACACAAATTAACTTGTTGAAAATTCATTATATCCTGACAGAAAAAAATGCTTTTAAGCAGTTAATGATTGGTTGAAACTAATTTTAATTTGCAATAAAAATCGGCAAACTACCTTCACAGAGAAAATAACTGTCATTTCTTTGGTTAACAAGTTTTTTGTGGAATTACATTTAATACCCAAAGTTACCAACCTATCTACTTTTGTTTGCACATTCTTAAATAATAATTTATTATTATATAAATAACATATTTAAAAATTTTGATGATTTTGTTTTCCCTGGAAACACATTTTAATGAAGTATAATATTTTATCGCTCACCAGATGGTATTACTGAGACGTAAGGCCTATCTGTCTCAAAGCGTTTAAATCAAATCTATTCTAAAAATAACATTGTAACTTTTATCATCACTTTTTGAAGATAAGAGTTAAAGATCACGGAATTACAAAAATAAAGAAGAGCCTATACTGAAATATACTGGACTGCATTATGTTACTATAATATGTCTTATAAAGTACATTTATTGTATATTAATTTTATAATTAATGAACAAAATTAGAAACTAAAGTTGTAAATAAAAATTGGATTTCTGGTATTTTTTAGTAATAGTCCCCGAAATTGTTATATAATCTAAAGTGTAATTGACATGTTAGCCCTCATTAAGGAATAACGAAAGAAGAGATGACTAAACAAAGTGTAACTTACCTCGATAACGAACCAAATTTCATTGTTCTTTTTAAAAATTCCATAAAAATCGATAATATTCAAATGGCTACTTAAATCTTTCAGAATGTTATATTCCTCTTCGATAAATTCTTTGCAGCCAGTCTCATATTTCTGGCATTTTATTGCAACTTTTTTCTTACTGGCTTGAATATCAATAGCAGTGTAAACTTTTCCATAGACTCCGTATCCACATAAATCTCCAAATTCATATCGACCACCAGGTTCGGGTATGTCAGTTAAATTTACTTTCATTTTTTTAAATCGAAATTTCAACAATGCTTTTAATCAATACTAAAAGAAAATATAACATAATTTTTAAAATACAATAATTAATTAATAACTTTAAATTTTCAAGCTAAAATATGTCGAATAATAACAATTCCAAGTCTCTCTTCATTTTGCCCCACTGAATAAATGAGTATATCCCGGAAATAAAGAACATGGAAAAAAAAGTTATTTTTTTTAGTGGGTGGATGGAATCAGACAAGTATAAGTCTATTTACTACGTAAGCCTATTTTCAAGTACGAGGTTGTTATCCAACGCAAAAGTTAGCCATTGAATAACGTAAATTTATAAAAAGTTATAATTGGAATTAAATTATAATAATAATAAAAGAGCGGTTTTCTTAAACCAAATAAAAAGAAATTAAATTAAAATTATACTAAGCTCAATCAGGGAGGGGTCGGATTATAAATGTTATGATGATTTAAAAGAAATAAAAGACTGATGAGAAGAGCATTCTTTCCTTACTCTGCAACATCGCAGTAGCCGCTCCCGCAATTTGTAGCTAACTTAATAATGTTTCTTCAATTTTGTGAGATTGGGGTTACACAAATAGCATATAAAAAATATTGGACCCCATGTACCTATTTTAAGCAAGAAAATTAGTATTACTAGTTAAATTTGTGATAGTTAGCACTTAAGTACGTACTATTCGGTTCACAGGTAAGAAAATACGATGTAAGTAGATTTATAAAACAAATTAAACTCTTATTAAAACTAATATATATAAAAAAATAGACAGTGTCAATCAAACCCTTTTCTTTTAACCCAATAGAATAAAGTAGATTGCACAAATAAATGTCCGATATGTGGATTATAACAAATAACTGATTATAGCTATTATTTTTAGATATTTTAAATCTCGCACTGGATGTTCTGAATAATGAGGAGCCCCAAGGTGATATCGAGGGCTTATTTATAAGGAAAGGTCCTCCTTTGCGTAAATCCTCGTTTGGTATCGGTAGGACTAGTAGTCTTCCAGGGACAGGGATCCTGATATCGGGCACTAGCTACTGGCATACAGATATCCAATATTATATATCCCAAATTTGGTATTGTGATGTTTGTTTACTTTAAAACAACAGTTAATTTATTAATATAATTTATTTAAACACTTATTTATTTTATAACACAACTATTCTAATTTATATACACTTCGAATTTTTTTAAACTGATCACTATTTATATTCACCACTGTCTATCTACTAGTTACTATTTATCTTCACTGTCCATATAATAACTGACCCTGATGGCTCTCCTCCACCAATTTATATACAAATTGGTGGTCTAGAATGCTCCCCCATCAAAATTGCCAAAAGGTACCAGAAACGTTATCACGTTATATTTAGACTAGAAATAGTATCTCGTTGACTCTGGAATGTTCGCGAAAGTGTCTCCACCATAGTCGTCCTATAGGTTTGGTCTTAAGGGGTTTAATTATGTATAATAAGCGGACAAGTTGAGCCTCAAAGGCCAAATAATACAGATGGGGACTTGGAGTATTAGAGCATGAATGAATAATGAAATGGCTCACATTACAGTATTTTACAGATGTATTGCATTGTTGAGTTTGAAAAACTGGATGATGATGGTCTAGCGGTTCTGAGATGAGCATAAAATGGCTGACGCCGAGTAAATACAAGTTTTTGGCCGCCGTTGTAAAGAAATATAATATAAAACTGTGGAGTATGAGTTCTTTCAGGTTATTTTTTTAATAGTTTATTTAAAAATGAAACATTTGTAGGGGGACACTTCATTTAGATACTTTTGATCATCTCACAGGATATACGATCTTTTTTTTTTTTATTAACTTTTATTGTAAACTCAGACTATATGTATACCTCTGAGAAGGTAGTTTTTGGGGCTACTACCTAAATCTCCGGTGAAATAATCGCCTTAGATTTTAGAAATAGATACACAATTTACTTTCTATCTTTAAGAATTTTCAGTGGTCTGTATTTTAATAGTTCTTTTATTTTAGATAATAATGATAAGTGAAGTACCAAATTAAAAAAAGTCAAATTTACCTCAGATGTACATTTCGAGGCTGATAAATTACCTACTTAAAGAAAACAGGTGCCAACTATAAAGCTGTCATTCGATGATACTGAAGATGATGAAATCGTAAAGCATGCTCGCCCCCCCCAATTAAAATTAAATCTACAATTTTAGGTATGTTGTGTCAATTCCTTTAATATTCTTTTATCATTTTATTTCTTTTGGATTTTTGCTCATCACTTTTTTATTTACCAGTGTTATTTATTTTTATAATATATCTTTCTTATATTTTTTGGATTTCATCTGCTTATAGTCCAGGATCCGTAAGTAAGGTCGACCTTCACCCATCTGTTTAATGGATAAAAGTTTTTTTTTTAATAAATAAAATATGTTTTTAAATATACCGCAAATGGGTTGCCTAAGAAAATACGGTCAGGGCCTTTTTTGCTTTTCTTTCTGTATACAGATAAGGAAAGTATAGGAATCATAATAAAAGTTACTTATAATGCCATTCTCTATTATTTTATCCCTATACAAAATTTCCCTAATATGGACCTAATTCGAGATATTTGAGAAAAACTGCAAATTTCGAATTTTGAAGAGAACCCAAAAACGGATAAAGAGAAAAACACCAAATTTTAAACTTAAGCTTTAATCTATCCTGCGGTAAGCTGATTAAAGTTTAGGCATTATCAAAGCATCTGGGGAATACTTTACAGGGTGTCGTTTTTTTATTTTAAGACCGTCTGGACCGTATTTTCTTAGACAAACCTTTTGCCCTATATTTATAAAAATGTTTTATTTATTAAAAAGAAACTTTCATCCAATAAACAGATGGGTGAAGGTTGACCTTACTTCGGATTTTAGACTATTAGTATTTTTAATAATTCCATCAAACCTTGGGATAAACAGTATAGACGTCACTTTGGCGTGAGGAGGATTCATGATAATGACGTCATTTTGCCTAGCCTAGGACACCCTGATAATACGGAATGACGTCATTTCGCTGTGAGATTCTCACGTTACCATAACGTTATTTTCACGTCATCAAATGACGTAACGCACACCAAAAAACTACGTCATAATGACGTCATGATGTTGCATGGGTATCAGTATCGACAGGGTGGAACGTGTTTTTCTACTAACTAGCGAATCTAAGAATATACATCAAAGATATAACAAAAAAGTCTCCACAATAAAACTTGTTTTTTTTAGAAGGGGGAATATTTGTGGCGTTAACTAGAAAAACTACCTGTGTATATTTTACCTTCTTGGTTTTTTCTATAGTTTAAACTTTGTTAAAAAACATATTTTGATGATTTTTATGTATCCATTTTGAAAATACATCATCGTTAACAGAACCCTTATATTTTATTACAAAATCAATAATTTTACATCTTATGGTATGGCGCACTGCCACCATGCAAACATTGTTGATATGTACTCACTCAACATGACGATGACACATAGAAGCGTGCTGAGTAACCAATTAGAACATAAATTGATCAAAATCACAGACACGATTGGATATCCCAGTCCACGTTGACCAGCATTTTTTACGGGCTATAGTGGTCTATTAAAAATAGAAATGTGAGAAAGGCTTGATTTAGCCATTTAGAAGACGCTTAAATTAAGCTGTATACAATAATCGACCACCGGTCTGGCTAGTCGTACAGCGATGCCAGGCCAAAAATATTTATGACATACTAGCTCCGATTACATTTGCTCGAAGGGTACTATGCGCTAAACGTACAAGGTCGTTTAGCTGTAATGGAATTGAATGCTTTACTTTTTTGCGGTTTGACAACTATGTTTTCTAAGTCTGAACGTCAGTGGTGTCTGTGAATTAAATACAGATTTATTAAAAATACTGATATTTAATTGTGGAATAGTAAAATTTATTTGTGCCGTCCACTTTACTCCCCCGAGTAAAATGCTTTTTAAATGGAAAACGTGTAGTTCGCTCTGGACATTAGAGTGCGGGTGTGGTCATTTAAGTAAATATTGGACAAATATTGCTAATAATTTAAATGGGGGAAAGTTATTTGTAATAAGGCAAAGTCAATATTGGAAAATGGGTTAGGAGGGCATACGCGAAGTTCGCCTTGTTTCATCGTTTTATCTCTCCTTATTAAATCGCTTTTGAACTTCTCGTATGCCCTCCTAACCCATTGTCCAATAGTGACTTTGCCCCATTACAAATAACTTGAACGCTTGTAATCCACCACCGACTTCTCCATTTTTCCCCGTTTAAATCTCACCAACGACTTAGGTCCTTTTGACTTTGACATTGATGATTTTCTCTTTAACGTTTTCGAGTTCTCTACATAATGCCGTTTTTTCCATTTGAATCGGACCAACAATAAAAAAGATATTAGTTTTAGGCCCGTCACAGCGCATGATCTTAACATTCCATATATAGTCACACGTATTATATATCATTTCATGCATCAGCGAGTCCCATTGGGATTTCTCGATGTAGAAATCCGCAAACCAGTACGGTGCAAGGTCACGCGTTTTTTATTTCACATGCGTCACTGCAGTTCGTTCCATTCCTACTAAGGTAACACATGTTTTATTTCTTTTGTCAGCGAGGAAAATCGCCTTCTATTTAGTTCGTAACTTTTTTTTTTAATTTCACCATTCGATAAAAGGCATCTACATTTAGAAAATCGCATTCCAGCACATGTCATACGTGTTATATTTCATTTCTTGCGTCACTGCGGTCCTAATTTAACCATTCCATATTAGGTCATACGTGCGTGACCCATTTCTTTGGTCAGCGAGTTTAATTATTAGGCATTCCATATATGGTTGCACGTGTTATATTTTATTTATTACGTCACAAGCGAAGTTAGATCTGCATTACCACTGACAGTTGGCGTCTCCCCACTCCCTGCATCCTGAAGTAGCAAATGGCAGGTTGGCAAAGCTGTTGACTGTTTACAACTCAGGATAAAAAATGTCGCGGAGAGAAAATGGCGTTAGATATTAGACAACTTTATAGCTG